AAGATCTGAAATTATATTGTAAGTGTTTTTTAAAAATTTTCTGCTAGGTTCTCGTAGAACACTTCAACTCGCAACTTTGCATTATTGAATAACAGTTATAAATCATAACTTTCGACCTTTTCGTCAAAACGTATCAGCGACCTTGACTAGATATGCTGACTAGTAGCTTCTCACGTGTCTGATTTGCCAAGACTGAACCACGAGCCTCTCACAAAATATACAAAAATCAATACCGGATGACACAAACTGTAAATGCACTCACCAGTCTCATATCTTGGATTCCGTAGAGCACGACGCTTAGATTATCCTTGAGTGGGGCCATCGTTTTGACTTTCTTTATCGACACAAACGTTGGAAATGAAATGGTTCACGTCAAGCGAATTCTCGTTTATATAGGTACGGGACAGAAAAATTGTCGACGTCTAACTTGTTTGGAATAATTCGAGTGAATACATTTCGTGTGTATGAAGAGGCAGAGTAGGCACCGCCCCGGAACATAGACTGACGGAGGAGACTGAAATTTTCCGAGGAACAGACCCAGGTGTATGGAAAAACTACGTTACGACTAAGATGTATATGCACTGGTGGATNACGAAATTTCTCTTATAAAATTCCGTCGAATTAATCTTTGAATCTTTATAGTCATCAATTGGTCTTTGATAAATGATGTTGCCAATACTATTATTTTACTTAGAAAGAAATATGTGAGGTTGCCGATCTATGTTATAAAATCCCGCCAAATTAATCTTTGAATCTTTATATAGTCATATATTGGTCCTTGATAAATGATGTTGCCAATACTATTATTTTACTTAGAAAGAAATATGTGAAGTTACCGATCTATGTTATAAAATCCTGTCGATGTTCCTATAGTCACCAATTGGTGCTTGATAAATAATGTTGCCATCACTATTATTTTACTTAGAAGCAAATATGTGAGGTTAGCGATCATTGTTATAAAATTCCCTCGAATTATTTGATAAATGATGTTGCCAATACTATTATTTTATTCAGAATGAAATACGTGAGGTTACCGATCTATGTTATAAATTTATCTCGATGCGAATAAGGTTTCAATAAATTATTTTCAAATATGATGATGAAAAAATTGTTAATTCCAAAATCAAATAGACGCAACTTAAACTCCTTTCACTCACGTCTACATCTGAGAGGTTAAATAAAATTGTTTTGGTTGGTTTCCAGGTTTTGCTGTGGTCTTCTTTAGGTTCTATCGGTAACAAAGTTATCTGAGCATTCGTCGGTTCGTCGGTTGACGAGTGTTCTGGGGAGTATGATGGGTTTAATTGTTAGACGGTGATTTGTGAACACCAGCCGCTGACCACCATACATGGTCTTTTTTGGTGGGGTTTCGCTTTGGGAAGTGCCTGTGTGGCTCATCAGTGTCCAACCACTGTCCTAAACGTCTCCTGTTGTCGTAGAGGATCCACTTTTCATTACACGTGACGATCCGATCCAAAAAAGGATCGTTTTGGTCGCGCAAAAGCAAAGAAGAACATACCTCGAAACGTGACAATTTATGTCGATCGTTCAAATCGTGGTCATTTAGTTTTCGAGCTTTTTGACCTTTTCAATGTGTTTCAAATCATTAAAAACTGCATGGGAGCTAACGCCCAATTCTTCAGGCATCCCTTCCACCATTTGTGATGGGTGAGTCTCCACCAGGGTACCAAATCCTCGTCCTGGATTACTGTAATCGGCCATTTCGGGGCTCATCTTCGAGGCTAAAGTCTCCGGAACGAAATTTCCCATACTAACAGTGCATTCCTCAACATTGTCATTGCCAAATGTGTTAGACAGCGCCCGATCTAGGGGAGGCAAACCGGGCAATTGCCCGGGGCGGCAAAATGTCAGCGGAGAAAATTTGAAAAATAGTTGAACAAAAAAACACACCCTACACAAAAATAAAATGTGGTCACACTGAGTCCTTCAAGCCGTGCTGGATGCTTTGCACGATGGAGCATGGTCGCGGACGGACAGATGGATGGTGCGTACAGGCGTTTAGTTTCGTGGGGTTGGCAACACTGGTTGCGTGCAACAGGGGATTCCCCTAGTAAAAATAAAATTTATTTTTGAAATGTTGTATGTGTTGGGTATCAAATTTGAGGGCTTCATTATCATATTCTTAAATATTTACACTGTTGCTTTGTACTCAGAAACCAAAGCTCTGGTTTGAATGAACAAATCAGTACATGTACGTATTTATATGTATGATTATTATATTAAGTATTTCTGTAAGTCTAAATAACTGTTTTTCAATTTATTTTTGAATAAATATCTTGAAACGAAACTTATTTTGTTTCATTAATATCAGCAGGGAAAATTTGTCTTTTTATCGGTTAAAATTACACCATCTATGGAATAACGCATGGGTAAAAGGCGGCAAATATTATTTTGCCCGGAGCGGCGAAATAGTTGGATTGGGCGCTGTGGTTAGATTTTGGGCTGTTTTGGCTGCGCATTGGTTCAATTTGAGTACAAAATTCTCTATCAATCAGTATATACCACGACTCAATAGAGTAAACATTTATCGGGATATGGAGCTAGAAAAATACACGACAATAAAGTGGACAAAATTTTTGAAACAACCTATCACAACGCAATTTTTGGATATTCAATATTGATCTTTTGACATTGTGGTGTTGTCCATTTCATTTTTCAATTCATTTGTGTTAAGAAATAAACTAGAGGCGTATCGTCAGTGAATATTTCCAGGTTACTATTTGAGTTTTGTACCTATAGGAAAAGGAATAGGTCCTAGAATAGTTCCTTGTGGTAAGCCATATGAAATGTTCCTCAGTTCTGATGTAGATTCTCCCATATATACAAATCGTTTTTGTTCGGCTGAAAAATTGTAACAAGTGTAAACTCTACCTCTTATACAACATTGATTTAATTTCTTATGTAATATATGATGATCAACCGTAACAAAAAGTTTAGCAAAACAATTGAGCATGTTTGTTGAAAAAACATTAAAATTAACATCGAAGATTAATGAGAAATATAGATAAGAAGCTAGCGACAATTGAAATATGGTGTCTTATTATTGATAAACAACATCTGAGGTCGTTAAGGTTATCATTTTTGTCGCACGTTATTAAAAATGCATCTTTAGGTGACTTTACAGATTTGAAATTTAAAATATGGTTGCAAACCAGGGACTGATTTCGATTTTTTTCAATTCTGAATTTTAATGAACGTTATTTTCATTTTTAATATGAGAACACGAGAATCCTCTTTGCGTAAGATAATGTGGAAAATTGTTAACTTAATACAGGAAATGTTAACCAAACACTGTTTTGAGCTCCACATTTGACCGCCTTATGTCAAAATTCGAACAAAAGAAGATTTCTCATCCAATCACTGCATGCGTTATATCAAATCCGAAATATGTTTCATCCTTTTTATTGCGAAACGAAGTTTACAATTGAAAACGTACAGGGTACGTTTCGCATAGTATTTGTTTCTAGCCTAAACTCAAGTATCGAGCAAATTTCATCACCATCCATTTTAATATTGTGACTCCAAACGTGATAAATTTTGGAGTCTTGTTAGACCTGCTGCTCCACCATCTGGCCACCCAGATCTGGGACCCCAGTTCAAAGTTATTGGGTTCTAGAGTATTTTCAATAAAATCGGATGACTTACAACCCTATTGAACTTTAACTCACCCTTGTGAGCTCGAATAGGCCCTTCGACTCACCTCTGTATTCTGTTTTGCTTGACCCTCACGTGTGGCGCCATATCTCGAAATGTACTAACTTTGAGTGTCTTGTTGAATCTTGTTAGTCACCACCTGTTGCTCTAGCGCATCCTGGCCGGCTAGACCTGAGACCAATGGATTGCGGTGCTCAGTGTTTGGAGCACAATAAGCATGACAAGATTTAATCGACCAGACCAACAAGCGAATCAACATACGCAAGGATGAACACAAATTATCTGTGAAGGGAAAAGTCACCACGTCTTCCCTCTTCCAACACGTATTGGCAACAGGACATAACATCAATTTCGAGAACACAAAAACACTAGCAAGCAATGAAAGCTTCTACTCTCGAACAATCAGAGAGGCTATTGAAATTTAAAAACGACCTAGTAGCAACGACCAGCAACTCTGATCGTCATCACGTTTGTTCAAGCAGGAAGGTCGCTTTTCGATTTCGATGGCCTCGCGAATTATCCGAGCTTGTAGTGTTTTCGCTGTGGAGATGGCCTTAGTGTTCGAAAAGTTTATGTTGTGTCCTGTCTTTTGATGCTGTTTGGACAGGGCTGAGGATGGGTCTGACTTTCGGACAGCAAGTTGATGTTCGTATACTCCACTTGTCACACGTCTGTTGGTCTGGCCTACATATGTTCTATCGCAATCAAAGCATTGAATTTCATATATACCCTGGGATTCATTGACAATGTTGTCCTTCGAGTAACGTTTCGTTTTAATGCCCTGTTTTTCGATAATTTGGCCAATTTTGTCAGTTACCCTTAAAGGTAGGAAAGGGAAGCTTTGTGGGAAACGTTTTTGTCTTTTGGATCTTTGGGACTGGATGGAGGAGTTTATTGACGACGGATGGATGTGTCAATTTGATGGTCTGTGAATCCATTTTGAAAGAGAGCTAATTTGAGTTGAGCCAGCTCTTGTGCTTTGTTGTGGCGGTCACAGACGTGATGACGGTCGGAGACTTCTAACTACCCGGAAACCCACAATTTTCCCGAAGCTCACCCACCACCAAGACGTTCGTAATGGTAATCACCTGAAGCCTGAAGCCCCTCACATTTCAACTTCAGTGGAAATGTGGGGGCGGGGGATGATATGGTTGGGGATGAATGTTAGTTCATAATAATAATAATTATTCACCACACAAAATGAAGAATACAAATATAAGTTCACCATCACTTGCATACATATATAAAGGTGACAATTTTTTATAGGTACATGAATGTATACATAAATTTAAGCCTAGCGTTAAATGAATAAATAAGGACAATCCTTGAATGTGGTAAATTCCATATATTTTATTTTCAATTTTTTGGCACACATATGATTGTCACTAGGTAATGATACATCAACAAATAGAAAGCAAAACAAGAAAACAATAACAAAAGGAAATATTTCATCGGTAGACCTAATATACCAATACAAATTATATTGAAGAATTCAGAAGTAGTATTTATTACTTCAACTAACACATTGATGGATTACTAATTTTGGGAGGTTGGGTATCTATTTTTAAAATTGTTATGTAGCTTCGAGCTGAGTGAGAATAATTTCTCTGCAGAATAATTTTTCCGGTCTTAGAGTAGACTTCAACTATCGTATTATCTACACTTATTTTCGAAGAGTTGTGATCTGGAAAGCCTCTGGCGTACGATATGGAAAGTAGATATAATGTTTCATCCAAGTTTACTGTCAGGAGGTGATTGTTAAACCACTTGAGTACTTTTCAGAATGTACGTTCTGCTGTTTCTCTCCGTATCATTGGAAAAACTTAATACTTCCTCGTTTATCGATAGTTTTAGTAAGTCATTGATGTATACATTGAGAAGCAAGGGTCCACTAACGGTTCCTTGTAGAATACCGTACTCAACTAACATGCAATCACCGAGAATATACGAAGAGTGGGATCTATTTTGTCGATATTTTCACTGGTTGTAGTAGATAAGTAGACAATAGCATCAACTGTTGACATAGCTCCTATGAAACTGAATTAGTTTTCAGAAATAATTTTATTCTAAGATTGGTCGTGTTCTCAGAAACATTTCATATATTTTACCATGATTCAACATTAGAGTAATTGGTCGATAAGTAGACATGATTAGCCTACTTGAAATGTGGTTTAACTATCGCACTTTTGAAGGTTTCAGGAAATTTTCCTGTTCTGGGGCCCCAATTCACGATATACTATTTCGTTCATTATACTTTCAAGTACCTCAGCAGTAAGATTGTCGGCACCTGGTGTTTTTAATTTTTTTATTTCATGATGGTTTCTCTTATTTCATTCAGGTTAGTTTCTATTGTTTATGTTGGCAATGAATGTTTATAGATGATTTCACATTATATTTTTGTTTGATAGTATTAGCCAATTTTTCCCGCACTAAAAAAATGATCATTAAATTCATCTGATATATCTTTTTTCGAAGTACCTGTTTCATTTTTTGTCTCTGTGTAGTCTGATAAGAAGGTTACTTCAAAAACTTACAAGAGTTTAAGAAACACCCAATTATTATTTTTTCTTCTGGAATATCAGCAGAGCAAATTTTGAAAAATATTATACATAAATTTCGCTAACTTCAAAAATTTTATGGAACATTCAAAATACATCCTCAGGAAGAACCGGATTCAAGTAGATCATCGCCAAAGATGTTGCTTCCTGGAACGTGAGCGGTTCTTTGGAGAAGTACTCGACGAATTCCTGCAAACTGGAAAACTCTGGGACCTCCGAACGATAATCAGCAGTCAGCCGGATTTTTCCGGCCTGCGACCTCTCGATTCCGAAGTTGTAGAACTTGTTGTTGTGCTTCGTGGTCAACACTAGGAAATGCTTCTCGCTTGGTCTGAAAAGAAAAGCTCCATTTTTCAGGGGTCGCAGTAGTTGTTTTGCTCCTTTCCTATCAGTGTAGCGGTAATAGGGCTCGTTGCTGATGTTGACTGTAACAGAAAATATCCTAATCAACACATGGATATTCGAAAAATATCCTGTTTTCTTTAGTATATAATACTTTATTGGCCAAAGATACGAAAAATATTTTAAACGAGAGCACGCCACATGGTGTGCTCAAATCCATACCACAAACGGATATTGTTTGGCCTTGATCATTGCGAATTCCAATCTATTTGAAAATTGTACACGTTCAAAATAAATTGGCACATCTGTAGGTATAATAGGGATTTGTCGTATTGATATACTGCCACCTCAGAACTTGCAATTCAAAATGCTGGCTTCGACAATGTTTTTCAATAATGTTTCAATGACTAATCGAGTGCTGTTGCACAGCCGTGGTGGATTCAAATAACGGAGCGATCATTCAGTTGCAAATTATGCAGTGGCATGCCTTGCAAATCCATTGTATTCAAAAACTCTGTTGTATGATTCATAGCTTCGGTGGCATCGCAAACTGTATCTACGCTCTATGGATGAATAATAATAGTGGCCGAAAACTGTGTAGACACTGAGTGACACCCAAGTTGACTTGCAAAGTTTTTATGAGTATGTCGGCGTTTGTGATTTGATCAATCTTTAAAACCATTGAAACTGCGTTAGCAGTTGTTCACACCAACAGGTAGTTCCACTTTTGTCTCGCTTAGGTTCACACAGCCATTTTCATCAAGTACTATTTTTGGCTCTTCACATTTTGTCTTCAATCGAGGACCGCCTACCCGATACTGATGATACCTAACAGGCTGAAACAGCTGTCTACCAGTGGCTCTCAAATTGAATACGGCGTTCGGACCGTATAAAAGGACATACAACAGGATGACACGTTCAGTTTGAGTAGAGCCTATATGATGATAGTACGACCAGCTATCGAAAGCGCTCGCATATAATTAAATAGAAGTTATAAAGCTTCAAATCCTTTTTGTGACTTACATTAATATTA